TTCTGGTATTAGTTGTCACAGTTGCTTCATTGATTTGCATTGAAAAGGATGGTTCTATTATAGGGGGTACTTGGTCTTCCATATTTATTTCATTAATTGAAATGTCTTGTTCTAGATTTGTCTCAATCTCCATCTCTTCACCATAATTAGATTTTAATTTTCCAAGGTCTTTCACTTCCAATGGCACTAATTCTTTTCTTCTTCTTCCTACAGTATTCCGTATTTGGGTCATATCTATATCTTGGTCAACAATTTTTTTAAGTCGGCCCACTCCTTTGTCATAGCAAGTGAACATGAGTTGATAACCTCCACTTGTCAATTGGGTGGCTTCTTTGAACAGAATAGATTTTTCTGGGATATCATCATTAAAAGCTTGTAGAATTTCATCAACCAACTTCCATAATGCTTGTTTATGATCTCTTACAGCCCTTGGATGTTTACTCACAGTATTATCATCAACAAATTCATCATACAACATTAGCATTCTCTCTCTTTCTGATTGTACTGTGCCAATAAGTTCTTTTAAACTTTCTGAATCTTTTACTTGTGTAGAAATATTTTGTTTCACAAACTTAACACCAAATACCTCAAGTGCTTCATCATATGCCATGAAGTGATTTTTTTGAGTTAGGTTAATAGAAGGTGCAGCTTGGAGTCGTTTCTGTAATTCTGTGTCTCTGCTAACATGAGTTAAAAACCTGGTAACTGATTCTGCATATCTGCTCCTGCCTGTTATAGGGAATAGTGGTGCAAATACTTGTAGGCTTTTTAATTGCAATTCTAGATTTCCCATCCTAATTCCCATTTAATGAAGTTTTAATAGACCTCCCCATTTATAAAACATATACCACACTTTAAGAACATTATTATTACCAACAAAAATTTCATCAATATTCACATTATTTTCTTTTTTATACAAGCAGATTGCAATTCCAACTGCTGACCAAATAAGTTCAATTACTCGAAATGTAGATCTGTAATCTACAACCTTTTCAAATTTATCAAGGTATTTTACACCAAGGATTTTAGCCATTCCAAAAAGACCATAGCTTGAGAATGCAGATATTAAAGCACCACACATTGACTTGCTAGTATGCCAAGCTCCCAAGAGGCAGTTCAAATTTTGTTCTGGGTTGGAATAGTTATTAAATCTTTGATAAATTGCTTGATCACAGGCTAAATCCAATGAACCATTTGCTGCTATTCCAAAATCTTCTAAGTACATATCACATGATTTATACACATTTTCATTTGAGTTAGGCTCAGGACCAGCTTCAAGAATTACAAGATTTGGTGGTGGTATGTTGCATCCAGTTTTTATATATCTTTGTATTGAGTTATTAATGCCATCTATTCCAAAGTCTCTATTATTCTCTTGACATAATGTGCTAAAGACATCATTAAATCTTTCTATCCACTCAGCAATATATTGGCCTTCACCAAACATTGGACTTTGCATTATTTCATTAATGTCAGTAGGCATTATTGCAAAATTTGGTAATTTAAATTGAAATACCACTCTTAATGTAGCATGCCAACTCTTGCGTGCTACATCATATATATTTCCATAACCAAAGGTATGATCCTGGATATCAATATTGTCAATGACTGCAAGATTCCAGATATTTGATCCCATCTCAAGCTTGGATGCAGGTATACATTTTGTAATACGCTCTTTATGAGATCGGTATTCATGACGTTTTGTGTGAGAGATAATATGGACTGATTGAAGAATTGAATATAAATAGGGCAGGAGCTTATGATTTTGACATAGTGATGACATTATTTGTGTTGTCCAAATTTTTCTAAGAGGAAAAGCAAATGTTAACACAATTGATGCTAAAAAGGTGACAATCTTTTTGATAGTTGGAACATTTAGTTCTAGTATTGGTAAATCACGTTGCTTTCTTTTATCATTTACTACTTTAAGTTTTTTGCACTGTAGTGTACTTAACAATCCATTAAAGAAGCTTGTTAAATTTCCAGGGATTGATTCATGAAATTCATCAAGAGATCCTGGGCTTTCCAATGATGATTCATTTTTCTGTAGTGTGGTACGTGATTGCCAAATGGATGTTGCTAAGGTCTTACCATAATTTTTGAATACTTCAGGATTTAACTGATTTACTTCTTGATATTCATTTAAATTAAGTTTTTTTACTGCAAACACCACATTCAAAAGAAAAAAATTTGGAATTGTTTGATTATCAGAAGATTCTGTTGATATTGATATTGAATCTGTCTCTGTAGATATTGTTGAAAGTTTTGGTTTAAAATCTTTAATGACCTTAGTTAAAAGATTTAATAGTTTATCTTTTTCATTATTATCACTTGATAAAGCAACATTACTAATCCATTTAGCAATAAGTTCCAAAGAAGATTTAGAGTCTCTTTCATGTTTATTTTGATCCACACAAGAAACTTGTCTTTTTCCTGGGCCCAATCTTGAATGAAGGTGACCACCATATAATTTGAAGCAATCTGTGCAAACATATCGAACATATTGAGTGTTTGTTGGTTTGCTTGTTAAATTTGGATGTAGAGTTATTGCTGGACAATTAAACAACCCACGGCATGGAACCTGGATATTACGACCACATACATTCCATAAATGTTTTTTGCAAGCATCTCCACGTGTGTAAAAATTTTTGTATTGATTGCAAAAAAGACATCGTTTATTGTGAATGGTGCCTTTAGAAAAAGAATGTGTTGCTTTTATCCGTTCCTCCCCTTTTATAGGTTGGTGGAGTGTATTTTGATCATAATTCAAATGCCTTAAGCAAACACCTAACCTCTCAAATTCATCTCCAACTTCTTTCACAGCATTTGAATCAATTTCAAAGGAACCAATCAAATTATGAATGCTACGAATCTTGTCTACACTATTACAACGTTTAATTTTCTCTTCATCATTTTCATTGTCAATAATCACACATGGTGTCACTTCAATTTTATCAAATTTATCTGTTATTGGAACCTCTCTATCAAATTCAGATTCATCATTCATTTCTACATCATAATGGTCATCAAAGCATTCATCATCTATGTAATCAGCATTTATAGTATTTTCAATTTCTTGTTGGAGTAAGTTATAATCAAATGTAAGTAATGATTCATTTAATTGACTTGCTTGGAAATTGGACATTTTTGGTGATTAAAATTTTTATTTATTTGAAATATTGAATTTTTGTTAGTTTGGTGATTAAGATTTTTATTTGATTATTTTATTTGAAATATTAATTTTTGTTAGTATAATTAGATCTAAATCAGTTGTATTTGTAATTTTTTTTACTTATCTTATATGATTTGAATTTTTAACTCTTTGGATCCAAATTTATCAAATCTAAAAATACCAATGGCTGGGTTATGTTAATGGCTCATTACAATTGAGCATCAATTTGAAATTCACATGTGTGAAATTCAAATTAGCCAATCAGAATTTGTATTCAAACACCCACCCAAAATTTAATTAATATTAAAATAAATTTCAAATTGTAATTTGATTTTCATGTATACAAAGTGTAACCTAATTAAGAAATCCATTATAAGTGTCAAGGGTCCTACAAACTGATAAAACTTAATTGTAAAACAAAATATTTTCAAAAAAGGTTAATTGAATATTAATATATATAAATATGTATACAAAGTGTAACCTAATTAAGAAATCCATTATAAGTGTCAAGGGTCCTACAAACTGATAAAACTTAATTGTAAAACAAAATATTTTCAAAAAAGGTTAATTGAATATTAATATATATAAATAAAAAAAAATTCTAAATTATGTCGTTATACTAGTATAATGAGATAAACAATAGGTGTCATTTAATTTTGTCATTTGTAATTGATTTCATCACGCATAATTGATTTCGTCACACATAATTGGTTTCGTCACGTGTAATTAATTATAATTTTGTAAATAATTTTGTAATTACATATTACGTATTACTATTACTATTACGTTTTTGGCAAAACAATTACCATCCCATGTTATAATATTGAATCTATCAATTATGATGACATTGATTCAATTACATATATTAATATGTATGTATATTGATTTATGAATTAAGATAAATAATACTTTTTAATAATTTACATCCTAGGTAAATAAATATATAAATAAATAATTCTATTATAATATAGTTATAATATCTATTACTTACTTTTATAATAATAAGTTGTAAAATTGGTTCTTTTTTTAAAAAATATTAATTTAATTTCTATGAATTAATTTTTTATTATTAATTAATAAGAATAATTTTATATTCATTGATTCAATTATGTTAATATGTATGTGTATTGAGATAAATAATAATTAAGACGATTCTTTCTTAAATAAGTTAACTAAATTACGACGTTATACAAATAATTAATAAAAATAAAAATAAAATAAAAATGAAAATAAAAATAAAACGTATTACGAAGTAGATGTAATACGGATAAAAATAATACTAAATTAATAAAATAAGATTATAAAAATAAAATAAAAATAGAAATAAATAAAATATAATCAGAAATCCCGATTGATTACTTCATAATATTATTTATTTTTGATTAATTATGTAGAGGAATCATACTAATTCATTTACTTCAAATGTATAATGAGATCTAATTTCATATCTTTTTTGCAGTTGTAATAATGAAAATTTTTCTCATCACTATTACTATTATTACTATTGCTATTATAATGTGCGGGTGTGCGGAAATTGTGCGGAGAGTGTGCGGATGTGCGGAAATTGTGCGGAGAGTGTGCGGATGTGCGGAAATTGTGCGGAGAGTGTGCGGAGAATGTGCGGGTGTGCGGAAATTGTGCGGAGAGTGTGCGGAGAATGTGCGGGTGTGCGGAAATTGTGCGGAGAGTGTGCGGGTGTGCGGAAATTGTGCGGAGAGTGTGCGGGTGTGCGGAAATTATGTGAAATTTTTAAGGATTCATCTCTGTGTGACAAGAAATAGATTAAACTTGAGAAAAAATTTTTTTTCTTTAAAATTAAAATTTACAAATGGACGGTTATTATAATAATAATAACAAATATAATAATAATAATTATAATAATAATAATTATAATAATAATAATTATTTAACATTATACAACATTAAAAAAGAACGCAATGAACCAGATGTAAATTGGAAAAACGACTTTAAGTGGCTTGATATCAAAAAAGAAGAAGAAATATTCGTGATGTATTGCAGAATATGCCATGAAGCTAAAAAAAAAAATGCATTCGCTAATGGCTGTAAAATATATAAAAGAGATTATCTGGTCCGACATCAAGCTATAGCTGATCATAAACAACTGGTTAATTTAAATAAATATCAAACTAGAATTGAAACCTTCCTAGTACCATCAAAAAGAAAACCAACTCACATATCACCACCACCAAGTCAATCACCAAGTCAGTCACCAAGTCAGTCACCAAGTCAGCCGCCAAGTCAGCCGCAAACTCCGTCACCAAGTCAGCCACAAACTCCGTCGCCAAGTCAGCCGCAAACTCCGTCACCAAGTCAGCCGCAAACTCAGCCGCAAACTCCGTTGCCAAGTCAGCCGAATTATAACATATTAGAAAACAGGTATTAATAATTAATTAAATTAATTGCATTATATTTGTCATTATCAATTAATTTTTTTATTATCTAATCCTTTTTTTTTTTTTTTACAAAAAGTGATAAATATATAATTTTAATAAGTGTTCCTTTAGCAAAAAAAAAAGATTTAGGAATCATGTGCAACCAAAATGAAATCATTATAGAAGGAAATCACAACGAATATATTTATATGGACGATTTTCAATGTTTATACAAAGGAATCACCACTGGAAAA